TACTCTAGTAGCTTGTGAAAGAAGCCATGCACTTTTGATTGAAATTCGTGGAAAGTGTTTTGCATATATTTTGATTGAAATTAGACAGGAAAGTTTTAAAAATTAAGATCTTTGATTTTTAGAAGATTATGGAATGGAAAGAAAAGTATGATATATTTTCCATATTTTTATTTTTTGATAGTATTAGGTTAATGAAACTGAAAGATGAAGTTCTAGCACATTTCTTGTAATCATGATGACAATTATCTAGATTTAATCTTTAATTATGATGGCAATTGTCTAGACTTAATCTCAATAAGGATGACTAACTCTAGGAAACCCTAACCCTAAAAAAAATCTATAAAAGAGGGAAATATCTACAATATCTACACCTCTCATCTCTCTCTCTTCTTTGGCATGCCCCATAGCCCTAAGAGCCCAAAGAAGGGGCACACCCCACTTAGTACGACATTGAGGTCTTCATCTTGTTCCATTGCTCTCATATTAATTAAAGGTTGTAGCTTATGGTTTATCATGCTTCAAAGATCTGAGATAGAACATTGATCTTGTGTGCCATTGAAGGAAAAAACCTAGTGTGGGGTGTGCAAAGTCTAATTGAGGTAATCTTCTGATAATAATATTTATGGTTCGTAGTTTCATGTTTTCTTATTCCTATGAGTTTTATGTGTTTCATGATCCACAGATCAAGTTTATGCAATTTTATTTGTGTAATAAAGAATGGCTAAAGTGGCAGTAAGAGAGTATCCTTGGTTTGTGTTTGTTTATTATTTCTCATAATGTATGTGGACTCTTGTAAGTAATCCGGGTAGTAAAAATAAAAGAAAAAAAGAAAAATTTTAATTGGTATACACTTGCCTGTGTTATATTGTCCTACTTTCAAGATACCCGGTCTGGCCTACAAAAACCTTGCTGGGGCCACAAAATTTAACCCAATGGTTGAGCCTGCATGAATCAAGCCAACCTGTTTTTACTTTTTTTTTTTTTAATTTTAGGCTTGAACTAGACATGTTGCCAACTCTCATATCTTCACATAAAGTCAAAACAAATTCTTTTCAAATTATCATGATTTACCTCACTTACTTGTACATCTGAATGTAGTAAATGCCACTATTTTGTACTAAAGTTTAACAGTCTCATTGTATTCCTCTTTGTAAAGAAGAAAAGGTTTAGTGTCATTCAATTCAAATGTGTAGCTATTCTAAAATGGTTTTGTTAGGCTATACCACTTGTGATGTAGGCCCTTAAAGTGTTTAACATTTTTAAACATTTAGATACCCTTATTCTATAGTATAATACCTTTTTGTTTATGGGTATTTTAAGTAATTAGTTAATGGTAAAGTAGAAATTTTTTATAGAAACAAAAACATTTATTAACAATAGTGGACAATAACATCATCGATATGGTGTGTGACGTCACCTTCAAGATGCATTAATTGTTTTTAACTACTAATAGAATGTTGCTAGTTTTTTATAAAAATATTCATTCTACCTTTCTAAATGACCAAAAATGCGTCTACTTATAAAATTTTGTATTACAATTTAAAGGTATTTTAGTACCCAAAAATATTGAGCATAGTCTACACCACCAAATGGTGTAGCCTAATAAAAAGGCTATCTTCAACATGGATTCACTAAAGGATCTTTTTTAGAATAGAAATAACAAAACCCAATTATTTATCAGAAGGGGTGGTACCATGCCACATCATGTGGATGCTTGAAGGTTGCACGAGTACCCTTCAATACTTGGGCCTATCCAGAGGCTACAATTTGATTTTATTTTTTGAAAATTTAGCTCACATGAAGAAATTCTTTTCAAATTATCATGATTTACCCCACTTACTTGTAAGTCTGAATGTGGTAAATGCCACTATTTTGTACTAAAGTTCACACTCTCATTGTATTCCTCCTTGTAAAGAAGAAAAGTTTTAGTGCCATCTAATTCAAATGTGTAGCTATTCTAAAAGGGTTTTGTTAGGCTACATTATAGACTCTTAAAGTGCTTAACATTTTTAGACATTTAGATACCCTTATCCTATAGTATAATACCTTTTTGTTTATGGGTATTTTAAGTAATTAGTTAATGGTAAGGTAGAAATTTTTTATAGAAACAAAATCATTTATTAATAATAGTGGACAATAAGATCACCAATATGGTGTGTGACGTCATCCTCAAGATGCATTAATTGTTTTTAACCACTAATAAAATGGTACTACTTTTTTATAAAAATATCCATTCTACCTTTCTAAATGACCAAAAATGCTCCTACTTGAAAAATTTTGTATTACAATTTAAGAATATTTTAGTGTCAAAAAATGTTGAGCATGCTCTACACCACCAAGTGAAGTAGTCTACCAAAACCCATTCTAAAAAAGCTATCTTCAAGATGGATTCACTTAAGGATCTCTTTTGGAATAGAAATAACAAAACCCAATTCTTTAACAGAAGGGGTGGTACCATGGCCCCATCATGTGGATGCTTGAAGGGTGCACGAGTACCCTTCAATACTTGGGAATATCCAAAGGCTACAATTTGATTTTATTTTTTGAAAATTTAACTCACATGAAAATTAGGGTTTCCATGCATCTAATAGTGCATCTAATAAAGATATAAAATAATTTAAGTAAAATATTAACTAAATACCCTTAATTTTTAAGGATATTTTAATTAATTATGTGAATTATTTTTTATTTAGTACATCATATTAACTTACATGTGAATCCATATTTTCATGTAAATAAAATTTGTAAAAGATAAGTAAAAATAAAAAATAAAATTTTCCTATAAGAAATAAAACACAAAACCATTGAGTCATAAGTGCAACGGGTCAAGTCAGGTTGCGTCCAAGTTGACCAGACTAGGTTCCACTTGGATGTAGACCTTGGTCCAGTCCAAGTCATTTGGACCTGGCCTGACTCAGACCCCAGTCTAGTATTAAAAATAAAATAAAAAATATTTTATATATTGTAAAATATGTATTTTATATATTTATGTATTATATACCGACCGACCTGACCCGATAGGGTCCAAGCCATACCTGACCAAGATCTTCTCCAAGTCATTTGGACCTGAACCCACCTCGCTAGGTCCAAAACATGGCGACCCGACTTGCCACCCCTAATATTGAGTGGTCCAGATTCAATGTTCAGCTGGATTGGTACTTTCCTTCTTAAAATAAACCTCCATGGAAGCCGTGTAGGGCAGTTTGAACGTCGGATACAAAAAAGAAACTAATCGTGGACAGGTTGGATGAAGTGTTTGGTGTCTTCAAATTCTTGTGCTTTGAAGTTTGAAGCATTGGCCTCCTTGGTGGTATATAGTTTATATAGAGCCGAGGAGCCCACCTCAAAAATTTTACTAGAAGAGATTGTTTTAATTCTCAAATATCTTTAAATTGATCATCTCGGTATCAAGATGCATGGACATGGGAAAAAAATAGATTTCAAGTTTTAAAAATAGTGCATCTTGTAACACATTTTTTTGACCGTCAATTTTCAAGATTTTTAAGTTGTCAAAGATCTACTCAATGTACGCTATTTTTGAAGCTTTAAATTTTACAATTAAAAGTGAAAATATATTTTAAGATAATTACAAAGATTTCCAGTATTATAGCCACATTTCTTGAAGTATTTGAACGTGCGCTCTACTTTGATTATTCAGAGCCTTGGCTCTATACAAAGAAAGAGAAGCGACTTTATGATACTGTTTTGTTTTTCTACGGTATTATTCTCTTCAACAGCAGTTTAACGCTGCACACAAGGAACGTATACCTTCAATTAATAAGGGAAAAAGTTTAATATAAGGTTGAAGTTTTAAACAATCTAATACATCCCTTAAAAATTACTAGAAGAAGGTGTTTCAATGTCCAGAAACCCTCAAAATCTAATCCTCATATATATAAAAAAAGACAAAGGTTTCTATACTTCTCCTATTGCATAAAAAATATATGCTTCCCTTATTGCATAGAAAATATATGCTTCCAACCATCAAATTTAAATCAAGTGAACCCTTGACCTTTGATCTAGATATGATGTCTCAAAGTATTTTATTTTTAATATTTTTTATACAAATTATATAAATATGAAATTTAATATGTATCATCATTTCAATGAGGCGCAATTCAAAAGAATGTTTTAAAAAAATATAATGATCAAAATGCCTCTTAAAATTTGTAAGGTATTTTGATCATTTTATTTTATTAAAAATATTTTTTTTATAATTTTTTACAAATGCGAGTTGAAGAGTAGTGGATGCCCAACATTTGGTAGTAAAATGTTGTGTAAAAAAATCAAAAATAAAATAACGTAGAGGCGTGACATTGCGATTGAAGCCATCTTAACCATCTATTCAGAATGGACGGTTGGGTAGGAAGAAACATATAAGTTTTATGTAGAAGAGAAAGTATAAAAAACTTGTTATAAAAGAGAAAAAAAAAAGGAAAAGAAAAGACTTCGAGTTTGTATATTATAATGCATTATGAAGTGTTTGTAACTTTAAGATTTGTAATTAAAAATAAAAATAAAAATAAAATTGTGAGCATCATAGACATCTCCGCTACTAAAAGGGTGAGGTTTGTATAAGGTAACGACCTTATATTATTGAAGTAAGGTGTATCTCATAACTATGCTGCGGATTCGGTGTTATTTGTTGCACGTAATTATGGCATTTAAGGTTTCAAAAAAGGTCACGATCAAGTACATCTATACACATTTGAAAATTATGAAAATGAGCGGTAAGATATTGTGTCAGAAGCTTAACTATTTTTAGGACTAGAGACTTTATTTTTTTTATTTTTTATTATTATTTTTTTTACGTCTACGAGAATCTCAAGAGGCTAAGGTGATCGATTTGAACAGTCTCCTCTTTGGGTTCTTTAGGTGCACCTTATCCGTACAGTATAAGATTGACGCCATATATAAACTTATTCCGTATTAAAATGACCTGTTTCAACACGCAAGTTAACGTGTAGCAGTTAAAGTGTATAAATACCTCGGCGATTCCCAATCGTAGTATGATTGTTTAGGGCATCAGTCACATACAAACAACGCTCATTAATACTGGAGCCTGGTCTTCCTCCGAAGGCGAAGAGACGCATTTATATTTCGTCATATAAAGAAATAATTAAATACTAAATATTATTATTATTAATAAATATCTGTAATACTACGGGCATTCATAATCATCAATTCCATGGAAGAATCCAAACCAGAGGAAAACGTGCGATCAACGGGTGAGTCCATTTGTTGTTTCTTCATAGTATTTTGGCACTCTTTTTTTTTTTTGATATTTGTTAGAAACTGCAAGTCCATTTGTTTTGATTTATTTCTGCATTATCAGAGGCATATATGGTTTCATGGATTTGATGTGGGGATTGTTGTCTTTGATTTTTCTGAGAAGTTTTTTTGCAAAATTTTGTCTTTGATTTTTTGAGATTCTGCGTCTTTTTCAGTCATTTATTGTCAGGATTTTAAACATTCAGTGAATTTTGGTATTGAATTTTTCTATTTGATGTTTGCTTTTTTTATTTGTTCGAAAGATGTCTTCAAAGTCGGCGTTCTTTTGCAATTACAGTCATTTGTCCATGGATATGATATTCCAACTCTCTCTCTCTCTCTCTCTCTCTCACATATGATATTGTAACTATCTATGTCTGAATTTGTTTCCTTCTTTTAATATTTTGCAATGGTGCAGATGTGAAGGCCCCGAATCTCTTGGAGAGGGCGAAAGAAGAGATTGAAGCAATAATGCACAGTGAGAAATCACACGAAAGGGAAACGCATGGTACAAGAGATGACATTGATGAAAACACCCCTCTCGATGAGGTTAAAGCGCCCACTGTGTTCGAACGAGCAAAAGAAGAGATCGAAGCTCTGGTTCAGACTGTTCACCCAAAGAAAGAACCCATTAATAACCCAGGAGGACCCCCTGAGAAAAACAGGGGTGGTTTTTGGGCTTTTCTTGGAAGTAGGTTCGAGAAATTTTGCTCCCCAAATCGCTAAAGTTCGCAACCATTTCCATTTGGAATGCATGTTTTGGTGGGTGTTTTTCTTTTTCGTTTTTTGTCTTCTTTGGGTGGGTTTTGTGACATGTTTATTTTCCAAAAGAAAATAGATTGGTTCCATGGTATGAATAAATTGGTAAATTAGAGTGGTCTCTGTATTATTGTTGATGATGGTTTTGTACAAATGGTATTGGTAACAGTTTTCTGATCGTTATTTCATTATGTGGTGATAATTCTAGTTTACGGGTTTCTCTGCCTTTCGTATTTGATTTGATCTTATGAAGTGTTTGTTACTGTGCTTCTGTCTATTTATTTGTCTTCTTTGATTGGACTGTGTTGATGTGTATATTTCTGAGTTAATTGGAAACAATTATGTATTTGTTTAAAGTGAAGAATTTCCCTTCTGGTTGATTATTAATCACTTTTTCGGGGTTTCTTTGAAATATTATTCGCTTTTATTTTATCATTTATTATTTATTTGAGCAATGAAACAATGAGAGCTTCAGTGTATGCAGTTTGGTTTATTGGCAAACATTTTCTCTATAGGTCGTGATCAACTATGTCCCACTTAGTAAAATTAGTCTTTTTTTCTTAGATTCATCTTTATAATAAGCGTTTTGTTCTTGTCCTTCTTAAACCAATCTATTATCAGCTGTCAGGGATGTTTTACTTGGTCATTTTTGAGAACCAATTTATGTGAGGTCTATATAGCTGAATCTGGGAATTATTCGATGAATCTAGGGTCCTGGAAATGTCAAGAAATTGTCATATCTTTCTCTAAGCTGTTTTTTATTTGCATTTAGATGCTTCTTTGTACTTTTGTAGTAGGAAATCGAAGGATTTCACCATGCACGTCTGTTACTGTTTGACGATTTTTCGCAAATCTAATATTGAGATGTAAAATACTATTGGAAATAATTCAAGTTGGAGAGGGGATTCTTCAATTTTATTGAGGGAGAAATATGGGTTTATGATTTCAAATGGGAGGATTTGAGAACTGTTTTGAAAGATTTAAGGAGGGTACTGAGTACATAACCCAAGATTTTCTCTGTCATGCTGTGAAAAGCTTTTTCTGTTTTGCACTAGCAAACCTAAGATAAGACCTCTATGCTAGTTAACCATTTCTTCAGAAAAAAGATAAGACCCCTCTATGCTGTGAAGTAACAACAAATTTTTGGACATTAGATAATCAAGCTTTAAAACAACATAAATACATTCTTTAATTTATTTTATCCCCTGATCGATTTTGAAATCAAGCCTCATATTCCTTGCATTGCATGCCTATTTTATTTGTCCAAAAATTCCTAAAAACAACAAACAATGCGGCCTTCATCCATGAGAAATTTGACCGACAGTAGCCTAAGTGTTTCTTTGATAATCCAAGTGTTGTGAGAGAACAAAAACTGACTTAAGACAATGTAAATATATTGTTTAGTATCTGTTATCCCCTTGTCAATTTTGAAATCAAGCTTCATATTCCTTGCATTGGATGCCTATTCTTTGGGTCCAAAACGGAATTAAAAACAATAAACAATTGCAGTCTTCATCCACGAGATCTTTGACTCAACTATTTGACTGACAGTAGGGTGCTGGTCCTGATAGCAAGGTAGAAACAGGATATAGGTTGGGGCTGGTTTTTAGACTCACATTTTGAGCAATCACTGCCAATCTGGACAATTCCATCTCCCTTTTTGAGTGGGTTAATCTGGCAGGATGGTTGTGGTTACAATAAAAAAAAAGTGTAAAACCAAGCCCCCTTAAAAAGACATGTTAGAGGCAATATGTTCAGCACAAGCAGACTCTTCGTTGGCAGGTCATTTTGGCGAAACCATTTCTAGTGGTTCAGTAGAGAATGTATACTGAGACTATGGGCTGGGCAGTCCATATTTCTTCCTCACTAAACTCTTTTCTTGACTTTGCCCATCTATGGTTCTGGAACCAGATTTGAATATAAATGGCTTTGGCTCTGGTCAACGCAATTTGGAACGGTTGGTTTTCTAAATACTGGCCCAACTTTAAATATCCGAACCAAGCATAATTGTAAATTTTGAACAGTGCTTTCATTGAACCAATTAGAAAAAGGAAGAGAAAACACTGTTTTTTATTCATACTTAGGACTTAACCTCCTAAACTTGAGGGATTTGAGATGATTAAGTGATGCATCCCTACTTGGTGATTTGAAAGAAGGTTTTATGGATTGACCCTGTGGTTTAAGGTGCTAGTGTAAAGGGATTTTCTAGGCATCTAATGATGACACTCTATGTCTTGAAACAAGCTTTATGTTCTTGGTTCAGTATTTATGTTATAGGAGCCTTAGTTCTCAAGTATCCGAAGCTGATTAATCTCTATTTATTAGGGCAACGTAAGGTATGGTAATATTCTATCATTTTGTTGAAAGACTTCCTAAAAGAAGTACAGGGAGCTAAGCTACACTCAGAGTGAATGTAGAGGTGGAAGCTTTGACTATTGTTGGTAATAGTTTATCATTTTGTTTAATGAGGTGGTTTTGATATGGCTGAGGCTAAACATGTTTGCTTTCCGTTCATTTTAGACTGAGTGAATGTAGAGGTCGAAGCTTTGACTATTGGCATGGATAGGGATTCTTATGTAGTATTATTGGCTATATTTGTATGCTTGTCTCAGGAATACCTTAGGTTCCTCGTTCAGATTATTCTTTCTGTCCTCATACACTTTCTTCTCTTAATAAAATTTTGCTGCTCATCAAAAAAAAAAAGAAAAAAGAAAGATCAAAGAAAAATAATTTGAAGTCCCTGTATGTAAGCTTGGGGCACGTCCATGGTGTACCTAATTTCATTTCATGGTGCAGCTTATTCCAAACCACTTCAAACTCCGGTTCATATATACAGAAAGAATTTAGGCCAATAAACGTAAACTGATTATGTGGACCATTTGAATTGTAGTGGCCTAATTCGTTGCAACAAACATCAAATGTGTAAAAATCTGTAATAGTACTTTTTGTTTTAAAGCAAGTGTGTCAATAATTGCATTAGTAGAAGATTCTTGATGAAGAAATAAAACAAGACATGTGACCGCTTACAAAAGTGGCAAATGTGTTCATGAACACTGTGATTAGTGCACAACATACATTATTAAAATGTTGTCACTGCTTCAGAAGAGGATAAGTATAAGACATTATAACCTCTCTCTCTCTCTCTCTCTTCTACATTTCTCTCCACCATTCTGTCCCACTTCCTCCGACTTCTCATTGTTTTGTAATATGGGACTGTAGTCACTGTACTGTTTCTTCTTTGCATAATTATTAGTCAATGACTTTTGTTTATGGGGCTGCTAAATAACCCATATTTTGTTATCACTATGAGGTAGAACACTCGCCAGGTGGATTGCCAATTGTGCTGCCAAACGATGTAAATGCCTTGCTAAGATTAATGCAGTCAAGTATTTCCCCAAAAAAAAAGTAAAACAGTGGCCACCTCACCTGCGTTTTGCAAGACTTCATAAAGAAAACTTATTTACTAAAAAAAAATTGGACCCCTCTCTAGAGTGGATTTGCACCTCCTTTTCGAACAATGGTATGTTGGTTCAATTTGTCTGATATGTATTCTCTTGAGTGTCTCACACCCACACATCACACCTGCTATTCCAATAGCTCGTAATTTTTTTTTTTAAACTTTTGATCGCTCTACCCATCAGACAGTACTTTGTCCAACCCATCCACGAGTTTTACAGGATCCTTTTGAATTCCATTTTTTATGTCCTTCAAAAACTATGCCCCATTTCATGTGTGGATGAGGGACGGATTCCTGCCAAAGTTCACATTAACCTGCATATTGACCCTACTATGGACTAATGCACAACAAGGTGGAAACTAATCTATGCTATGGGATATACTATTGTTTTCTCTTTTCCCACTTTAAGAGTTGATTCTCGTTTTGTTTCTGTGGATGCCTCTTCCCCAATAAGTCCTCTCGTCAGTTGGTCCATCACTGCTGCCATGAGATGGGCAGACTGTAACATGTATTGCAGATGTTTTTCCCATATTTGGTGTGTGGTGGAAATCAATTAACTGTTGTCTATCAAATACCTATTTTCTTTGGGTAGTAGCCATATTTCTTTTAGTGTCTCTTTTGAAATGTATCTGCTATATTTGAATGGTACATCATACTTCTTTACAATGCAGACCTACCCCTGTAACAGATACTTCGAACAAAACAATCTACAATAACGGGACCTTAAGTGACTAGTTCTGAGATTTCTCAATTCTCACACACTTTGAAACCAAAAAATGTGAATGTAATCGAGTCTTAAAAGTAGAGCCTGTCAAATGGCGTTTGATTAGTAGGAATATACACTTGTGTTCAATGTACCGTTTTAGTACAATTGTATGCCTATTGCATGAGGGTTAACTCTTTTTAGAATGATTGCATGGGGAACTCTTGTTAGAATGAAACGCGAATGGAGGGACAATCAATCCGAGCTGCCATTGCTCCCCTCACAACAATGGGAGTCCAGAATAGTTGAATGTCCCTTCAGGAATCGGGTCACCATCCCCCACCTCTGCAAATTCAATACACCTGCTATTCGTAGGTCTTATTATCTGGGGCGATCCACCAGTGAGGGGTTTTGAAGAGCGTTCCCCGTGACCCATGACCCTTAAAACCAAAACACTGCAATATACCAGGTGCATCCAAGCCAAATTGCCACAACTTCCAGACCTCCTTTTGTGGGTCATGCATGACTCTTGGACGTACAGCACTAGCACAAACCCATGCAAAATCCTTTTCCTCTCTTCCCTTGATCTTACATTTAACCTCCTTACCCACACTAAGTTAAAACAGAAAGTCGGCCGCCCAGCTGCCTCGACAGGGCACCCAGGTGGCTAGGAGGCCTCACTACTGCCCTGGGCCTATGTGGCCCAATGCGGCACATCACCCAGGGCCCTTTAGGTGAAGCCTGAAAATGGCCCTCCACCAAAGGGCAAATCTGTCACTTTCCTCGTTAAAAACTATTTTATTTTAGTGTAATGTGTTATACCTTTGTTTTTTTTTTTTATATATCCTTTTCTTGTATTTATTTTTGAAGTTTGGATTTACATTTATGATGAAACTTCATGAGTAGTTTTTTTAACGCTTTGTTATTTTTGTAATTATAATATTTTTTTGGCTATGTTTCTAATTTAAAATGCAAATTTATAATACATTTTTTTTCTATGTTTGGCTTTATTATTATTTGTTATGTTTGGCTATATTTGAAAATATTACTCTTTGTTTGGATGCAATAGAGTAAT